CTTCAGAAGCAGAGACACTGAACCCGACCTGCCTTGTACTCCCTCTGCTGCCTGCACTCAGCTGGATATGGCAACCCAACAAATGTGCAGTGCTACGGACTGAAAGTTTTTGCCCCACTAAATCATATGTTGACCGCCAACCCTAGTGTGATGGTATTTGGAGGTGGGCCTTTGGGAGGCAATTGAGTTTTAGATGAGGTCATAAGTGTAGGACCCCCATAATGGGATTAGTGCCCTTTTAAGAACAGTAAGAGACCAGAAACCTCTTTCTCTACCACATGAAGACACAGCAAGAAGGCAAGCCAGGAAGTGGCCTATCACCAGACACCAAATCTTCTAGCACCTTGATCTTAGGCTTCCCACCCCAAGAACAGTGAGAAATGAGTGTTTATTATTCAAACTACATGGTCTCTGATATTTTGTTATAGTAGTTCAAGTTAAGACATTCAGTAGAAAGAAGACCAGAAGATAAATCTACAAACTTGCCCATCTACCCTTTTCCTTTCCCTCCCTACCTTCTACTCTCTTTTCCTTCCTGGCTCTCGAGAGTATTCCTGAGCTTGCCTGGTTCTTGACTGTCCTCTATGACTTCTGCCCTCTATTTGGCAGAGTGGTGCCAATTTTCGGTTGGAGATGGCAGAGTGGTATCAGCAAAGTGGCTTCAGCAGTGCTCCCAGAATGTGGTGCAGAGGTGGAGTGGGAGAACTGCTCTGGTGCCCTCATATCCCTCAGGCCACCTGTGCTGGGCCACCATCCAGAAGGGTGGGGAAAGATGAGGTGGGAACCAGACTGGTGTGGCTCAGCTCCCACCTCTCTCTGTCCCCAGGGGGACAGACTCCTCCGCTTCCATTTCAGGCTTGAAGCTTTTTTCTCCTCCTGCAGAGAGGAGGGAATGAAACTGTCCCTGTTGGCAGATCCTTGAGCAGGGCTCCCTCCCCCACACAGCTGGGGGATTCTTCAGTCTCCACCTCAAGAATCAGGACTTGGATGCTGTCAGAAGCCTCCTTTGAAAGGCTGAGGGCCAGCCTCCCATGGCTCAAGAAGGGGGTCACCCCTGCGTGGGAAAGGTTGTTGGGAGACAGTTTACCAGTTTACCTTCCTACTGCCTCTAGCCAAAGGTAGATGCCCAAGCTGAGCTAGCAGAGTCCAGTCCCCTTGGATGGTAACCTGAGGGACAGAGTTCCTCTTAGGCTCCCATCTGCTGAGTGTCTCCTTAGGTTTGGATGAAGGACTATACATACATGATCTGGAGCAAGCTGTACCCCAACACTGAGGGAGGACACTATTACTATGGTCATAAAACAGATGCAGAAAATGAGGTCTCAGGTTTCATATCTAACAAGGGTCAATGCCTGGGTTTGAACCTGGGCTGCAGTCAACAGTGTTCTAGCCATACACACCATCTGTTTACCTCTAGTGGCATCAGGTGCTCTGTAGACCTCAGCACCAGCCAGTGATCCTGCTGCCCCTTGCCCAACCCTCTCTCCACAGGCTTGCTCCTCCAGACCTTACCCTAACCCTGACCTGTTACCCTCCATCATCTCCCCCTGCACTCTGGCTTCAGTCCCTAATCCTTTTCAGTCCTTTAAGCTCCTAGTCTTGGGCCACCACTGCAGCCTCTCCAAGCCTCCATCCCTGTCTGTAAATTGGAGCTAACAGTAGTACCTACCTCATGAGTTTCTGGTATGTATTAAGTGAAGTTTTATTTGTAAAGGAGCTGGGATAAAATTAAGAGCTTAGTAAATAGGAGATAGATTTTATCTTTGTTTTTGTTTTTTAACATATGGAACTTTTAGACTCAAAGCATTTCTGGGCTCTAATCCTAATATACTTTTCTCCGACTTCGCTGGTCTCTGGGTTCTACTTTCCTTTCATTAGCCAAAGAACTGGGGACATTTCCATGTGGGGCCTTTAAAGATTAGATTTTTTAAAAATATGAGTAATCATCTATCCACTTTTTGTAGGAATTGCTCTTAAAGTGTTTAGAAATCACTAATGTAACAAATAAATAGCAAACTCCCTGAGGATGCCGAGTATCCTTGGGGCCTAGCACAGAGCCATGCCCAGCAGAACTCAGTACATTCAAAGGAGTAGATAGCCAGCAGCACAGGTATGAACAGTGGGGAGCAGTCCCAGCCTCTTGAGCTAGCAGCCCCCATCCTTTAGAGGGCTATGGGATGGGGGACATCTCCTCAGTCCCCTGCTCTGAGTCATAGCCAGCTATTAGCAGGCCAGCCCCAGGGTGTAAATGAGATCAGACACCTCTGTCTTCCCCAGAGGCATTTCTGTAGGTCTCAGGCCCTAAGGTCCTCTTGGGCGAGGCATGTTAGGGCCAAGGCATGTGATGTTTGCCTGCTCCTGTCTCTTGCTGCTACTGTTCAGCCCACATTTTCTGCCACCACCTCCTTGAGGAAAATTAGACAGGAGCACCTGTGGGAAGTCCTACTCACCTGCATCCATGGAGGGGTAGGGGGGAGTGGAGGACAGAGAGGGGGAATCCAAAGGATCATATCAACTCAGTGGCTTGGAGCAGGGGGAGTAAATGTGAAGCAGTACAGGGGCTGGTTTGCACGAAGCAATGCCTCGTCTTGCACTGGATCTGGTACATACTGAACACCCTGTGGTCTTCTGGAAAGAGAAAGCTTCACAGTCATGTCTTAGAAACCAGACTCTACCTTCTACTGGCACACCTTTATGATTCAATGTGGAAACATATTTTTCTGCAAAGACTGAGACCCTAAAAACCCTTTCTGGTCCATGGGAAAAGTAGCTGATCCCTGAGGTCCTCCCACCACTGCACCCCTGCAGATACATCCTGTCTGCCTTGGAAGGGCTGTTTAACCAGCACAGGTCTGGGCAAGGCATGGAGAGAGTGCTGCAATTAGACCAGATCCCCAAAACCCCACCTGCCTCCCTGTCCCCACTCCCGAGCTGCTCCAGGGCCTGCCCCGGCAGTGGAGTGGGGTTCTCAGTGGCTGACAGAAAATCTGTGAGGAGGGAAGGAAGAAGAGAAGAGCTCTTGGTTTGTCTTCATTCCTTCATCTTATTTTCCTGTCCTGGGACACACCTGTCTAGTGCCCTGCAGATGGAGGCATCTTAATCAGGGACCTCAGAGCACCATAATTTTTAACCCTTGGCAGTCGTCCCTGAAACCACTTTATGCTGATGAAAGTAAGGCCTAATTCCAGGCTGCCTTGTGTTTCTCTAACAGGTTCCACATCTCTCATCAGCCTCTAAATCCATGAAGGGTAGTCAAGTGGGAGTTTATAGCCTCTGTCCCAGGGACGGTACGGAGGGCAGTTCTTTGAACTCTGTCTCTTTCTGCAGGCTGGAGATTCCCACCACTGCCTGATGGAGGAGGGCAGAGGCTGCTGGAGGGAGGTCCCATGGCTGCCCTTGTCCTGGACAGCTCTTTAAGATCTCTTCAAGATGTTCTGGCCCTAGAATCAGACAGCCCCAAAACTAAGCTAACATCACCTCTCCCAGATGTTGTTAAAGCCATGAGAGCCTCTTGTTGTTGGAGGCACTGTCTTCACCCCAGCAGATACAAACCTGCTAGAATGGAGAAACTGCTGAACTCTGAAGATGCATGTTCTAATGTCAGATCAGAGACCTAACAGATGTGTGCTGTGTGCCATGGTAGAAATCACCTCAACTCTCTAGGCCATGCCATTAAAGTGGCCTCCATTAAAAAAAAAAAAAAAAGACGGGGGGAGAAGAAAAACAAACAAACACAAACAAAAAAACAACAGCACAGAGAGAGATGCAAAGGCAGGTGGAAAGTGCATTAAATGCCAGACTGCTCATTTCCCATGGGAGGATTCATGTATGTGTCCCTGGTACAGAATGTGTGTCAAGACAGGAGCAGCTTCTCCTTGGTCCATGCAGGCTGCCTGGCCCCATCTTGATTAATGCCATTTAGGCAGAATAATGTTTGTCTAATTTCCCAAGGCAGAAGTAGACTCTTCAGCTTTCTTCATTCTCCTATGTGAGACTCAGCCAGGCCTAGGCCTTCTTACATCTGTGCATGTCTCATAAACTAAATGCAGAGAGAAGTTTCATTTTATTTGTTTTGCTTTCTCCCCTTTTCCTGACCTTATGTGCTACATAATCCAGAAAATGATCCAGATGGGAAAGGCATTGGCTTTGAAGCAAGAGGCAAGAGAGGAAAAAAAGAAAGAGGCACAATATAAACCCCCTTGTATCCAACGTTCACTTTGGAGAGAAATCTTCCTCCCCTAACTCCATTCCACACATGTTCCAGATGGGGTTGTGGGGTCTTCCTGAGGGTGGAGGGAAAACCCAGCGGATCTGCAGGGTCTCTGAGACCTCCCCTCTCCTACCTCCTGTCTTCCATACATTTGGTGTAAGCCAATGTGAGCAAGAAACCTCCTTTCAATATCGAGAACCCGCCTTCAGACATTCAATGATGCCACACTCATCTGCTCTACACAATTTCATCAGTCAATTTTACTTTAGTCAAACTGATAAGGTAGATGGAGATTCAGAGTGGCAAAGTCAGAAGTGTTCCGCTCCCATTTTGTTTTTAGTTACAACTGTCTCCCTCTGCCAGAGTAAGCAGATAAGAGAGTAGTTGTCAGGCAGCACTGCCTGATCCTAAAGTTTCCCCTCTCTGGTGTACATGTCCTACACCAAGGGCTCATGACCTTTCTGCACAGACATCTTCGTCTCATATCTGCTTTCCTTCCCCTGAAGCTGATGGGAAAGGGAGGAAACATGAAAATAGAGCTCCTGTTACATTTCACATGCCTTTACTTATATTGGATCATGTAATTTTCATAAAAATTCTCCCCAGGACACAATACATTTTATAGATGAGAAAACTGAGGCTCAGAGAGGCTAAGTGACTTGCCTGATGCCATACAGTTAGTTATTAGGTAGCAAAGCCAAAAATCATGTTCTTTTTGCTCTCCACTCCCAAACTTGCCTGGAAGGGTTGGCAAGCATGACAAAGGACAAGCCTCACCTTTAGGACTTACCCGCTTTCTCTACCAGGGCTGTAGGTTGCTGTCCAGGTGAGGATGAACTTCTCTGGGAGACTAAGGGAGCATGGCATGAGCTGAAATGTTTCCTGAGCAAAGCCTTTTCTCCAGGGGTCAGTTACCTCACTGGAGATGTCAGAGGACATTGCCATGGTCTTGCCCTTGGCTAGTTCAACTTTTAGCAAACACAAGGGAAGCTCCTGGGTAGGTAAAGGAAGAGAGAGAGTGATGTTCTAAGATCTTCATTGATCCTGTGAGCAGGAGGACCCCCCGTACCCTGTTCTTCTGAGATCAAAGGAGGTCCTACTTGACCGGACCTGCCCCTCCTGGCACTGGGAGGCACACCTGCCTTGTGGCTGGGACTCTTTCCCAATGTGGCATCAACTGTCTGGGTGCTTAGCATAGCTCACTGGCACCCACAACCTTCCCATTTTGTTCAGGTTTGGTTTAAATTGAGTACATATGAGGCAGAGACAGCAAACTTGATTTTCATTTTGGAAAGGTCACAACTGTGACTGGCATAGTAAACCTTCACTATAACATTAGATGGGAGCTTCTCAGAACTCTTAGAACAAAGGAAAAGGAGGAGGAAAGGAAGGAAATCAAACATCTGGAGACCCCAGAGATACAAGGACAGAAAAATGGAGGCCATGAGTATTAACTGTCACCAAAATAAAGGGACTCCTTTGGCTTGAGGGGGGAAGTCCACTAAGACTGAGAATACCCCATTATTGACAAGTTCTCATATGTCCTCTGAGGCAAACCTGTCTAACACTAAAGATTTAAGGATCTGATGAATTCTACTGGCCCTTCTATCTTTGTCCACAAATAGCAGTGGGTTAGTGTAAAGAGTCTAAAGGGGGAGCACCAGTCCTGGTTCTGCCACTAACAAGCTGTGGGGCCCTGAGCAAGTTCCTCCCCAGTCTGGGCCTCCACCTGGGTCATCACATGTTGAAAAACAAAACAAAACAAAACAAAACAAAACAAAAACAACAACAACAACAGCAACAAAAAAACAAACAAGACACAAGAAACAAGAAAAAGGCCCCCTGTGATTCCACATCCAAAGTGGTGCAAAGCAACGTGTTACCCATGTATCCCATGATAAATAATTTTCTAGACATACGGACACCTGGACGTTTGATATTAGACTAGGAGCTTTCCTCTCCTTGAAGCTATGGCACCCTATGTTTCCAGGCTATGTCAGAGCTCTGGGAACACGTGTTATCAACCAGGAGATAGGAAGGAGGATAGAAAGTCATTCTAATAATAATCTTTTATTTCTAGAAAGAATCCTCTCCACCCTCAAATCTATTCTTTTCTCCATTGCTAGATTAATGTCCTAAAACCAAGGTCTACTATAAACCACTCCCCTACCTATCACATCAGTCACTTCCCATTGCCTACCAAATAACAAGCAAACTCCCAAGGCATGTACAAGGCCCTTCTCAATCTGATTCAACTTGCTTTTGTTCCCACCACTTATTGTCCCCTATCTTTGCCACCTACCCCATTCCATTTCTTAAAATCACACCCAGACCACAGGGTGCTTCCCAAGTTCTATGTCTTCCATGAAGACTTTTTAGACCAATTCATCTCTGTAGAGTGATATTTTTCAATGCATCTGTTGTCTCCCCCAGTACCAAGCCTGTCTGGAACAGTGTGTCTCATTTTTTTTGCTCCTCTTAGGATCTGGTAGAGTGCTTGATATGAACCTAGCATTCTCTGGCTTTAAAAGAATGTAACTAAAATAGAAAGAAATGGGCTCCTGGGGTCCAGAGCAGGAGTTCTTGGAGGTGAGTAAAGACAACTTGGAGAGGAAGGGTTTGGGGGGGATTGGGAATAGGGCATAGAATAGAACTCAAGTGTCCTTTCAAGTCTGTGATTTTGTGTTTCTATAGAGTACTGGACATTTCATCAACACAGTCTTCTTAGTTTCCTGATAAATCTTGGAACCTTGGGCTTGGAGGTCCTATCTGTTGCTCTAGCATAGAATTAGCTCCAGTCAAAAGAAGTTTTTAAATCCTGAGGAAGCTGAAAGCTTGGTGCTCCTGGTAGATGAAGAAATGTCTCAGGAAAGACCAAGCATCTTGCCCATACCTACTCCCTGCTAGAGCAGTGCCTTTGAGCAGAGCAGCTGCAGGTCCATGGAGGGGAGAAGTGTAGGCAGCTGTGAGCAGACAGCTCCCTTCAGTGGAGCACTGCCTTTTCAGTGCAGGTGGAGGCTGGGGCTTTGCCTGGTGGCTCTCACTTTCCCCACCTGCCTGCAGTTCAGTTTGCCTGCTGGTGCCACTCAGGCGCTGGGGCTGGGGAAGGCTGTCTCTTCAAGATGTGAGCACATTCTAATCCTTCCCAGCTCCTTCGTGTGTGCACTGTTGAGATGCCCTTCACTGGGAAGGAGAAGAAGAAAGCTAAAGCTGGAATGTCTGAAGGTTTCAATAAATAAGGGAGGTGCTCTGAGTGGTTAAAGTATCCTTCTGAAACAATGCTGTCCCTGACTTTGCTGCTGAGGTGGCCAGGGTGGACCCAGCACAGGCATCCCCCAGACACACTGGTCAGACAGCATCTTAGAAGTTGGCAGAAGGTCAAGACCAATCTCAGGACTCATTCCCCTAGACTTCTATCCCTTGACATACTCTGTGAATCTCCCATTGTCCCTGCATCCCTAGTTGTGTGGTGGCTTCTATGCTCAGGGTTTTCTTATTAACTTCCTTGAGGAGAGGGTGAGAGGGAAGGAACCTGGGTTGGGGGATCCATCAGGTTCCAGGCCAGCTTGTGTTGGTGCTGTGTTCCCTTTCCAACCCCCTCCTTGGGAGACCAAACAAATGTTATCAGTGACTCAGAGAACCTCCTGTCAAGGTCACTCTGTTCTGCCTCATGCTGTCTCTGCTGTCTGACATGAGAACCAACTCTGTTCTCCACCTCCTACCAGCCCCAGTGCAATCGCGGGTGCTGATGAGCTGACAAAGAGTGCCCCATCTGTTGGCTGGAGATCACGTGGAGCCTCTGCACCAGGACAGAAAGTCTCTAAGTTTCTACTTCCCTAGCTGGTCTGTTCCTATGTGGTATAACCCTTTCCCTCCCTGAAGCTTCCCACTGAGATAGTAGACCCAGACTTGAAAGTTCCCCTGTTATTCTTTCTCCTCTTGCCTGCCTGGGTTCCCAAACTCTGTGGTCCTTGGACAACACAGGGAGATCTGAATGGGCTGAGATGGAAGGGTCACCAAAGGCCTCATCACCATTACCCTGAGCCATTTGGGGCTGAGCCCTGACTGTGTCCAGAGCCTGGTGCTATACACCTGAGACATGACACATTTTCCTTTCAAGGGATTTAAAATCTAGGTAGGGAGGAAGTATAGAGAAGCTAAATAATTATACATGGGAACAGATGCTCAATGGGTGTGATAGTACATATTGCAAAATTTAAGGAACAGGGAGCTGGTGGGGGGAGGGGTCTTTCTCTCCCCACAGCTGATGTCCTTTCTTCCTTCCAGACCAGGCAGGTGCAGCCCCTCAATAGTGAGTGTACCTCTCTCACCCTAGAATCCTGTGTTTCATCCTATTAGCCAGAACACACTCACCTATTGCTCACCACCCAACACTCCAGCGTTATTGGAATTACCGGGGAAAGGTGCTGGCAAACCCAAGCTTTGTTTCCCTGCCTCCTTAGCTTTCTCTTACCTCCTTCCCTTGCATGCCTATACTCAATTCTCTTTTCAGCAGGAATATAATGTTCAGCTGCTTTACACCCACTCTCTGAATGCTGCCAGCGAATAATGACTAAGGTAGTGGGTGGAAGTACAGCAAGTTGAGACCAATTTAGCAGTCCAGGGTGCCAGGAGGAGGGTGATTTAGCAGCAAATGGCTTTGCAATAGCAAGGAGAATGAAGATGCCCCCAAAGCCAATAGGCCAGTGAGCCAAGTGCACAGCCCTGCCCTGGCGCCTCAGGCAGGGATTGCCTCAGCCACCTGGCAGTCTGTGCTTTACAGTTGGATTCATGCGCAGGGCAGGGTTCATCCTTAAACACCAATTGATTTTCAAAACAATGCCCACCCTCACCCTGATCTCAGCTCCACTTTGACACTTTTGAAGGGCCTGTGTCCTCGAGTACTCTTCAGCGTAAGAATCTCACCTAGAATTATCCCTCTTTGTTTGGTGAATATTGTGGCCTGGGGAGCTTCTGAAGTTCTGAAGAAAGATGGCAATTCAAAAGACTGCTCTGGGCTTGGCAGAAACTGAGGTTCTGTGGCATCAAGGAAGGATTAGCCCAAGCACACTTTATATCATGCCACAGAGAGGCCAATGCAAGTAGACACAGGTGTGGCTCTTCCAGGTCCTGCTATCTTGGGATGTCTGAGAATTCATGTTATGGGATGTGACTGTGAGTGTGGATACAAGAGGAGAGCATGTCTCAGTGGAAGAGATGAATGAATGAATTTGGTGTGTGTGTGCATGTGTGTGTCTGCTGGCAGTCATCCTGAAGGCAGTTATCTTCTCCCACGGTGCATGGAAGCATATCTATGGGTGATCTGGATAGGGCAACTTTTTATTGTCTTTGTTCCAGGTACTAGACAAAACCCATATCATATCTGCTTAGACACCAATTTGGCCTAACACTTAGGAAGAAAAATCACCAGTCTACTGGATTGACTAGAACAATTAATTTTAGCTTTTAGCTAACAAACACACACACTCACATTCTGCTTGCTAATTAATGAGGACTGACAATTGGGTGATTATAGCTCGGAACTGGGAGTCAGGACAGCTGGGTTCGAAATGCAGCACTCCACTTAAAATCCTGGGTGAACGCCTTCACCCTGGATAAGCTCATTCAGTTTTCTCGTATGCCAAATTGTGGAATATATCTTCTCACGGGATTGACGATACTTAACAACAACAACACTAATAATAATAATAATAATAATGTCCCCTTTTAAACTGTGAAGTCCTGAACAAATAAAAAGGACTATTAAGATTATTATTACCAGAAGCCTAAAGATGGTGATAGACTGTCGGGTGGAAGTTGATGTCTGGCAGGAAGCAGGAGAGCGACAGAAGCAGGATGGATATTGCCGATACAGAGGTAGCACTGCCAATCGGCAGCCAGCCCAAAGCCCAATGCAGTCATGCTTGATTTTGACACATCTCCACCCACTTCTCTAAATCTTTGGAGAAGGGGATCTAGAGCCAATATGCACACTCATTTTGCTGGAGGCAGTTGTTAGAGGTGATTTATTTCCCATCCTTCATTTCCCAGCTCTGTCTGATCTGGGTGTCTCGCTGAGCTGCATGGAAGGAGGAAACAGGATCCCACCTGGGTTCCCCTGGGAAGAAAAAGCTCCATCTCCTCAGGTCTCAGCTTGCATCTTGCAACTATGACCTTGCTGCTATATGTCTACTATTTTTATACCTTCCTGAGGTTCAACTTCAATGTTTAGTTCACGACCACCTCTTCCTTGGTGTCTTTGAGTTCACCTCCCTCGTGCTGAGCAGCTGCTGTGTCCCAAAGTTAGTACAATCCAATTCTCAATGTTCTTGTCAAGATTCGTGTATGCTGGTTCCTCTTAATTCTCATCACAAATTTTAGTCTCAAGCCATTATTGAACCATTTTTTTAAAAATCCCCCACCTTCCTGGCACCTTGAGTGGGTGAAACCTTGAAAAAATAATGAAGTACAGTTTTAAGGAAACTAAAATAATCACAAAACCCTGAGAAGGCATGTGGTAACCCTGCTATGAGAAATAATGGGGTGGTGTAAAGGGCATGGGAAGGGAGTCACCAGACTGAAACCATGTGACCTTGGGCAAATCATGGCCAGATTACCTCCCCAAACATGGTTGCAATTCACATTCCAAACAACAGCGTGTCTATTTTAGATCAGCGATTTTCAGACTGCAGTAGCATAAAGATCTATTCAAAGCAAAATCAAAGACCTACCACTTAAATTGCCTAAAGATTCCCCAGACAGTTGGATACTTCTTTGTTGGCAAACCCCTAGAAACACCTCATTACTGCCCTGGAACCACTGTTCTCCTTGAGTTTCAAGTAGACAATTTTAAAAACCTTAACCCTGTATTATACCTAGCACGTCCCACAGGTATATATTTGTTGGTTGACTGACCCTGGGATAGAGTGTCCAGCTTGGCAGCATGGTGGGGGCTAGGTTTTCCTTCTGTTCCCAAACTGAAGTCAGAAATTGAGATGGAGGAGCCCTGTCTAGGCAGAGGCTCTGAAGGAGATGACCCAGTAATAGAGGCAGGAAAGCCAGAGGCCACACCAACAAAATGTGTCCCTGCAGAAATCTGCTGTTGGGAAAATGCTCCCTGCCAACTGTCTCTGACAGCTCGTCCTCTTCCCATTACTTTATTAAACAAGCATTTACTAGCCCCCTACTCATAGTAGCCAAACAGTATAGTCTGAGTTAGGCATCTTTGTCTCTAAGAACTTTGCAGGCTCTTCAGGACCAGTGGGTCAATGCTGGGATAGTGTGAAATGATGGTAGGAACTCAGAGGAAGGCATGTAATGAAGACTAAGGGAAAGGAGAGGGGAAGATTTCTTGGAAGAGTTGATTCTCATGGTTAAAACCAGAAGTCCAAGTGGGAGCTTGTTAGGTGGAGGGAGAGAGACAGGACAAGAATACTTGACAGAGAAGAAACACGTATTTCTATTTTCAAAGGTAAGAGAAGAACACGGAAAGAGCCAAGTCTAAGCTGAATGGAGTTCAAACCCCTGCTCTTTCATTCTCTACCCTAGCTACATTATTCAACTCTCCTCATTTAATAATCATACACACCCTGCAGGGCTGTGCTGAGAATTAAATGAGATAATGAATAATGAGTACTGGGCATAGAGTACACTTAGTGAACGGTATTATGTGTCATTAAATATTACCGATTACACCAGTCTATAAGCTGATTAACCACAGATTTGCCCTCATTACCTTATTCGTCTTTGTAGCCTCATTGTCTGGCCCAGAGGTTTGCATTTTGTAGGCACCCAATGAATATTTATGAAGTGAATGTCGAATAAGTGCAAAGACATATAAATATGTTTTCAGGATTAGAAAGCCACTTTTATATGGCTGGAACCCCTCTACCTCTGTCCATACAGGCAGAAACATGGCTTCTCAAAACTCCCTGGCCAGTCTTTCCCCCACATACTCCCAAAGCATTGGCTCTCTCCAACACACACTGTACAGCAGCATACCTTCAATGGCAGCAACACACATCTACTGGGGCACACACAGACAGATAGGAGGCTCCTCTACAGACACCTAAATGCACAAGCTGAATTGTTTTTGTTGCACAAAAAGGTTTTACTTTGTGAGGTGCACAGAGGGGGCCATAAATGTTAAATAACAAGCATCTCAAATGTCCCATCCTTCTTCTTGTTCACATATACACACTCTTGAGAGACAACATTTTTTCTCTTACCTGGGCTTTTTCTCATTTCATGAGGAGTGAATATCCACACATACATCTTCTCAGCTGAGAGCTCATAGTTGGACTTCCACTTGCTAAACCTAATTTTGTCCCCATTAGCTGTGGACCTTAGGGAAAGCCCTGCCCCTCTGGTGCCTCAGTTCTTCACTGGTAGAACACAGAGAATTAACTATGTTTCATGCCAACCTGGTAGTTACGTTGTGAGGATAAAGGAGATAACAAATGAGATAACGTCTGTGATGTGCAGAAAGCACCTCAGAAGAAAGGCACTGGATAAATATAAGGTGTAAATACCACACCTGATTAGTGTGTATGCCCCTGCCCACAGATTTCCACCCACACACTCCGCTCTTCTCCACCCTTGAACACAAACACCCTTCCTGCCTGTAAACGCTGTCTCTCATAGCTATTTTCATATGTACATATGTACACATATATGTATATGTACACATATATGTGTACACACACATATATGTACATATACACATATATGTGTGTGTGTGTGTATATACATATATATACACACACACACTTCAGCACCTGTATTTTCCCCAGCATGCCTACAGAAAATTGTTTTTGAACTTGGAGCAACTTCAGGTTACAAACATTCCCTAGGCCTTACTCACAGACTCTTCTCAAGGGTCTCTGGTGCTGGAAGAATTGCCAAGCATACAGCTCATCTATCTGGGGCTGGACTCCTTGGTTCCCATGATTGCAATTGGGTGGCACTTCCAGCAGAGCAGGAGACCCTTTATCTGGCACAGCTCTTGCCAAGAGCTCTCCAGAGCTCAGTGCCTCCACGCTAGTTTGTCAGCACTTAAGACCTAAGAGCAGGGCTGATGTGAATGGACCCAAAGCAGGAAGGTGTGAATGGGAGAGAAGGGACCCAGGAAATATAGATGCTCAGATCCCTAAGCACTCTTTGTTTCTGGGGAACTGAGGGCTCTGAAGCTAGCAAGTCCTAAGCACTTTTCTAGGCCTGACACACTCCTGGGCCAGGAGAACAGCTCCACTGTTCACTGCTTTCCACTTGGAGCAGGAAGGAGAAAGATCATCTGGTCTATGATGTTTTGATGCCTGTTGCTCCTGAGCTGTATGCTATGAAAGCTGGAGTTCAGCATGTTGGAGGGTGTGTGTGTGTGTGTGTGTGTGTGTAGGGGTGGGGAGGGAGTCAGGGTCTGGCTGCCTTTGGTGGGTGAGAGAAAGAAGTGAATGTGGCCTGTGTGTAGGTGTGGGACTGTGTGTGTGTTAATTTGGCTGAATGGCAAGTCCAGGACTGATCCTGGTTGGCCCACAACTCCAGGGGGCCAATTTCCACGTTCATCAACACCCTCTCTATCCACCTCAGCCCCTGTGACATATTCTTTCAGTGAGACATTCCAAACCTCTAACTGCATCAGTGTCCCTGCCACCCTGTGAGCACAGACACAGCCCATCTCCAAAGTTCCAGACGGAAAGTGTAGTGGCCTGACCCCAGCTGTCAGGCCCTCTGTCTGGGGCCAGGGTCCCTCCGGGATCACGCACATTCCCCTTTTCCTCATCTCAGACATCAGTGTCACCCAACACTTAATGTCCATCAAGATCAGATTTAGGATGGGAGCAGATAAAACCAGTCTGCCGGAAACGGAGACAAAGACAGAAGGACAGACGCAGCATCCCTTTCTCGAGGCTGGGACCAGAGCAGCAGCACCCACTCTCGCAGAAGTGGAGACCCTGACAGTTACATGCGGAGACAAAGACACCTAGACAGACCCTGACACAGACAAAGACCGACGGACGCACCAGCACGCCGCGGGGAGCGCAGTTTCCCCCGGGAATGCCCGTGCGGCCGCGGCAGGAGCGAGGAAGACCCCGCGTCCACCGCACCTTACCTGCCCCCCTGCTCCTCGGACTGACTTGAGAATTTTTTTTTCAGTGTGTTTTACAACGTGTTCCCGGCTGTCTTCCCAGAGCCGCCGGCCTGGCGGGTGCCGCGGCGCAGTCGCAGCCAGCGGCTCTGGCTCACCGGACCCGGCGGCGAGAGAAACTTTCGGCCTCCCCGCGAGTCCGCCGCCTGCCAGCTCCCGGCGCACCAGCCTCCGCGCCGGTTCCCGGAGCCGAGGGCGGGGCGGGGCGGAGCGGGGCGGGGCGGGGCGGGGCGGAGTGGGGCGGGGCCTGCGCCGGCGCCGCTCATTGGCTGGGGCGCGGCCCGCAGCCTCTCACTTGCCGCTCGGCGGCCTTTGTTCCCGGCTGACAGCTGGGGCTGCCCGGACCTCTCGGCTCCTCCGCATCCGCCGCCCTCCATCTCTCCGTTCTCACTTCCCGCAGACCCCGCCGAGCGGCCCTGTCGGAGTCTTTCTCTCCACCCGCCGCCCTTCCCGTTCTCCCACTTTTCCTGTCTTGTTCTTGTCCCTTCCTTTTTTCCTTTTATTAGCGCGCACTCCGTTTTTATTCCTTCGCGTTTCCTGGATCCGTTCCTTCGCTTTGGCCTTACCACCCCACCGCCCTGTATTCCTTGCTTGCTTTATCACCGCTTCTTCTTACTCACCAGTTTCCTTTCCCCAGCCCTGACTTTGCAACCCCAAATTCCAGCGAAAAGGCTGGATTTCTAGGTTCAAAGACGGGACGAGCCGCTGAGTGACCAAGCTGGGATTACAGATCGGAGTCCAGAACACCGGCACTTCCACTCCCGAGACATTTCAAAGGCAAACTTTTCCAGCTCCCTCCCGGGGACTAGGTTTCGGGTGAAAACTGGGGCCTGTTCCAAGTTTATAGCTATAAATCTCACCCAGGACCTTTTTAACGCTATCATTTTCTCTACCACGCTCCCTTTAGACTTCTAGCAGTTGGGCTAGGAATGAAACCAAACTCACAAACTTTGGTAGGACAAAAGGCCAGTTAATTGGGGTGCCCGGTGTGGCCTGAGGCGCTGGTCCTGAGGGTTCACCCAGGCTAATCTGCTAAAACCAGGCATGGCTCTACTCAGGGAATGTCATCTTCAGCCAAAAGAGGTATGTCTGTGTGGAGGACAGAAGACTGAGGTGGTTGGTCTCTGACTGTAAATGTTGTGGGGGAAGATAGCCCAAAGAGAAGCAACACCATTTTGTTTCAGTCACCTGGCTGCTCAGAACCTCCTAAGAGATCCTTACTACTTCAGATCTTGACCCTGAACACCCCAACTCTCAATTCCAGGCTTCCTGGAAGGAAACACAGCATAGAGTTTAAGAGCACAGACAGGCTCTGCTAATTATCATCTGTGTGACCCTGAGCCAGTGCCTTAAACACCTCATATCTCAGGGGTTTTTTGTTTGTTTGTTTGTTGTGTTTTTTTTCCCCTTCATGAAATGGGGTAACAATTCCTGGAATGTAAACTTCCTGAGGGCAGGGACTTGTTCTTTTTTGTTCATAGCTGAGGGACTGGGTCTGTTCTGTTCACAAGATGTACCCTCAACACCTAGAGCTTGGCTGGTATATCATAGTCATGTTATAACTACTTGTTAAATGAACCAATCCCTAGTTTATAGGTTTGCTGCAGGGACTAAATAAGAATCCTTGGCATGTGGTATGTACATACACATGGTAGCTATTACAGGTAACATTGCAACTTCTCTGTATCAACTCCAAAGGCTATTTAGCCTTCTCAGAACATCACCTCTTCTCTTCCACCTTTGCACATACTTGTCCCTGTTTGAAAGACCTTGCTTTACCTGTCAACATTTGAGACCTAAAATGCAATCCTTATTCATACCATCTTTGTTCACCTCAGTCAAAATTACAGTTCCTTTTTCTAAAGCTCCATGTCTCTTGTCCCATTCATTGGCGCAGCATATGTACACTTGCTTGCATGGTGGCTGTGACTGCAGGTCTATCTTCCCCTAGACTATGAGCTATCTAGAGTCAGGGACTGGACTCTACATTTCCAGAGACAGATATTGTGCTTCACAAATGGGAGTTTCTCAGAAATATTTGCTGAATGGATTAATATAAATCAAACATCTTAGCATTTAAAAAAAGGGGGGTGTAGAATCTTGGAAGGTAGAATAAGGTATCAGGCAGGCTTCAGATTTCAGTCAAACTCATTTTTGTGTTCTTAGATGTGGAATTCCATGAAAAGGGGAAGATAATAATCCTGGAAGCCTGTTCCTCATTTCGGCCCTACTACTTACTATTTAAATATTCTTGGATAAGCCATGTTCCTGGCTAGGCCTCAGTATCTTTATCTGCAAAGTGGGTAGTTTAGGTGAGACTCTTTAAGGGTACTCCAGCACTGATGTATTGTGGTTCTCTGTCAGAGACATTCTAGGTGGAAGATAAGGCATGGCATGTAGCTCTCTTATAATGACAGAGTTAGACAAAGGGTGTGGGCAGTGTGTTGGTGTGTATGTGAGGGGTGGAACCAGGATACAGTATGAAACAATAGAAGCACCCTGTGCAAGGGATTCTTCAGAGGTAAAGTAGAATGCATTGAAAGTGGGGGTGGAAGTAAGGAAGGAGAGTAAGGAGAGGAGAGCTGCCATGGTATAGCGTGTGTGTGTGTGTGTGTTCATGAAAGCCTCAGGAATGTGGTCTCCAGAAGTAGAAAGCCATAATTAGCTCCCTGATTCAGCTGTTGGGTATGGTAGTGCAATGACTGGGTGTGTCTGCTCCTAACACCCCTGGTGGGATTCTCAATGTGTTGCCTCTTCTTTCCTTTGTTTAGTGAAGGAGTGCTGCCCCAACTGGGCCCTGGTTGTCCCATCCAAACCTCTGCTTCCTTCAGGCTCTCCCTTGCCTGAGCTGAGTCTGGAAAGCTGGGTCACAAAGCATATTTTTGTAAAAAATTCCCTACCTTCCTCATCTGTTCACCACCTAAGATTCAGTCAGTTTACCATTCTGGCTTATGATTTTGTCCTTCATTTCTAGGGCCTTAGATTGGTCACATAGGAGCAGGCCCGTGGACCAATTAACCTAACATTTTCTCTGGATTAGAAAGCCTCTGCCTCTCTCAGTGTGCTTTCACCTATTACAATTTAAATAACTGCCCATCTTCTTGTTTGTGTGCTCAACTTTTCTAAAAGCTTCTCATTCAAAGACCACATCTTTCTTGTCCAATACTGAATTCCCAGGACATTGTTGGTATACAGAAAGCACTCATACAATATTTGAAGGAATTCTATGGAGGGGAGAAAGACAATGTTTTAGAGAGAGACATGGACTCAAATACAGAAGATTCACATCTATTTCCACTTCTTCAAATTTGTGGTCTTGTCACACCTTTTCTAAGACTCCATTTGCTCATTGGTAAAATGGGCCTATTAACATTAGCCTTACCTATTTTGTGACAATGATGCAAAGATGAGGAGAAATAGTCAGATTGAAGCTGGTAAGAAAAGTAAAAAATGTCAAATAATTATTAAACATTATTTCAAGTCTAAAAAAAGAAATAAGAAAACCTAACTATAGTAGCATGCCTGGCTGGCTCTGTTGGTGGAGTCTGCAACTCTTATCTCAGGGTTGTGAGTTCAAGCTCCATGTTGGATGTGGAGATTACTTTTTTTTTTTTTTTTTTTTTTTTTTGGCTGCTAATTCTTATCTTTAATACTCTCCTTCAAAGGCTTTGGTATCTAAATTAAGCTGGATAATGAAACTATATTAGAAAATCTGCTCTTTTGCTGTTACCTAGCAGTACGGGCTAACATGGATTATTTTACCCTGATATTTTATTATGAAAATTTTTTTTTTTTTTTTTTTTTTT